TTATTATAATCTTATATTTTATCTTTTACTTAATTATTTATATTTATTTACTTTTTTAAATCTCTTAACTAGATATAACTAATAATAATAATAATCTTTCCTAGTAAATACCTAAATAAAATACTATACCTTTACCTAATAATAATATAGACCTAGTTTACCTTAGACTACCTAGTACCTTATTATAAGATAAAAAAGGAAGATATAAGAGGTTTATATTTACTTTATTAATTAAGAAGAAGGGCCTTATAAGCTTTTACTAGAAACTAGTATAGACCTAAAGTAATATATAGAAGTATAGGTTTTCCTCTAAGAACTTTAGTTTTTCTTATATTTATAATTAGTTAAGATATTAAATAGATAAACTAGTCTAACTAGTATAAATAAATAAATAAATAAGTTTATTATAAGTTTATTACTAATTTACTTATTTTTTAGATTTATATATTTTATTATTATTATATTTTATTAATATAATTAATAAATAAGTTATATAAATAAGTAAGTTATATATTTACCTTAACCTTATTATCTTAGTGTTCCGGCCTTCCCTCCTAGGTTTAGTAGCAGTCTCTAAGCCCCTACTAGCGCATCGCTGCTTTATGCGCCTACTATAAAGTCCTCTAACCTGCCGCTCCTTACCTTCTGCCTTAACTTCCCTCTTTTCCTCATTTCTTTATACCCCCTTCGCTAATATTTTAATATATACTCCCAGCCTGTGGGCAGCCGGGTAAGAGGCACGGGGCCGCCGCGGAACCGAGACATGACCTGAGCGCCTGTCGCGGCTGCACAGGAACGCGTGCAGCCGAAAAACGACGAACAAACGCCGGAACTAGTGCAAACGGAGAGATCATAACAACGCGGCACCGAGGGGGTCCCGGCCCGGCTGCGGGCCAGCCACGCACCGCGTCCGCACCCACTACTCCCCCTGGCCTAACGAGGCTCTGGAGTATTTAATAATATAATTAGCCTTTAACCTTTAGATATTTTAAACTCCTTTAGTAATTTATCTAGTTTTTAAAAAATAATTATAACCCTAATCTAATAATATATTAGGAAATAACTAATAATAATATATATAAAGTAAAGCCTTATTAAATAAGTAGTTAATAGTTTCCTTAGTACTTTTAAGAAATTATAAGAGATCTTATCTAGGCCTAGTATATTTTATAATAAATACCCTTATAAAGTAATCTAAACCTCTTTTTTTATAACCTAGGTAGTTAGTAGAGTTATCTTTTATATTAGTATAGGGCTATTAGGCCTTTATAGCTAGGCTATATTATTAAGGGGCTTAGGGAAGAACTTCTTAATAAAGACCTCTACTTTCTCTTTTACTATAATAACTAATAATAATATTTTACCTTAGGTTAAGTATAGTATTATATTAAAGCTATTCCCTTATATATATTTCTTTACCTAATAATAATATTACTAAAGCCCTTCTAATATATCTACTACTATATTAATATAGTCTTTTTAGGCTTATATTTATATCTTA